AATAAGACTTCAAGCAAAATACAGAAAAGGTTATTATTAATGGTAGAACAGAATAAACCACATATTAAAAATAACTATCTCACATTCTAAGACTTCTCAGCAGGATAGACGAGAGGTCCTCTCTTGGACCTATGTGTCTTTTAGCAGTAGGCAATATCAACATGGGAATCCCAAAGGTGTTTTTTCAAAAGGCAACTGGACTTTGTTTTCCCTTGAAGACGTTTTGCTTCTCATCCAAGAAGCCTCTTCAGTTCTTCTGGGACAACCATGACCTGGATGACTGGACTTTGGACATAGACATCAACATGGGAAGGCTCCTTCATAAGCAGTAGTGCCAAATCAGTAAGAATATACTACTATTGCTGCCTATTTAAGAAACCCATAAATAATTTAGCAGCGTAACTTTTATTGACAGTGTTTACTCATCCCATGAAGGACACTTTTGCTTTGGTTCCCAAATTTCAGAAACAGACAAATAGATACCAGTCTGCAAGGACCCTTAACAGCTGGGTCTTCCAAATGCTGGTGGGTTTGACCAATTTGCATTGCCTGCAGCTAACAAATGGAAAAACACAAATCTCCACTTCCAGCCAGAGACCCAACTTTCAACTTTCTTTGGTGGTGTTAGGCTTCAAAGTGACGGGATGAAAAAGATCCCCAAGAACCATGGTGAAATGGAGCCAAGTACTATGGGGCCTTACCTTCAGCAAGGGGGAGCTAGGAGGCTGCACAAGGTGATAATTCTTGCCCATGAGAAACTGCCTCTTCTGCCCGAAGGCTGCAGAATTGATTTTGCATGATCTTTCCTGGGCTGGAATTAAATTAGAAATGTTGCAGAAGACTAGCAAGGTTATGGGAAGAGAAGAGTATTAATTTCACGTAAGTGCAACTACTGTGAATGAAAAGGGCCCCAATCCATGAAATTTGACTTAATGTGTGAACTTTGCATAGCTTTGCATAGTGTTATATTTGACGGCAGTCATTTTTATATTTGGCTATAATATACAATATGGGAAACATAAAAACTAGGCTTCAGTTCTTGAATCATCTGTAAACTGACTAAAACATGCCCTTTCCAGCATATTCATCTATTTATTCATTCATTCATTCATTCATTCATTCATTCATTCATTCATTCATTTATTTATTTAATTAATTAATTAAATTTCTATACCGCCCTACTCCCGAAGGACTCAGGGCGGTTAACAGCCACAGAGTAAAACAAATAAATACAAACATTTAAAATAGAATAAAAACGAATTAAATAATTTGGCTGAACAAATTTATTTGTGAAGAAGGAAAGAATATCTCCTCAATCTCCCATAAAGAAACAGGTTGGCAGCTGAATTTTATTTCTACGCTGACCATAGCATAGCAGGGCTGTACATACTTCAAACCAGTGGTGGGTTTCAAAAAAATTTTCTACCAGTTCTGTGGGGGTGGCTTGGTGGGCGTGGCAGGGGAAGGATATTGTAAAATCTCCATTTCCTCCCCACTCTTAGGAAAAGGATACTGCAAAATCCCCATTTCCTCCCTATCAGCTGGGACTTGGGAAGTAGAGAATAGATGGGGGTGGGGCCAGTCAAAATTTTTACTATCAGTTCTCTGAAGTACTCAAAATTTCCACTACCGGTTCTCCAAAACTGGTCAGAACCTGATCTGTCCCCGTCCACACACACACACAAACACAGCCAGCTGAAGGTTAAGTAAGTACTTGGCACGCACACAGGTCATTATCTCAAACTTGGCAGCAATATAATCACCGTCTGCCAAGAGCTTTTACTGCAACAGATAACACAAAATTAATTGCAAATAGTCCAGCAAAACAATATTCCTTTCGGCAGCTTCAGACGTTGTTCAAGTGACTAGCCAAAGTTTGTTTTTGTTCGTCACAGAGTTTTACCAGCCACCACCCTCTCTTATATAGTCTCTGGGGTGTGGTCCAGTGACTCAGTTCTAATCCCTAGCACGCCTCCTTAACTGCTGCAACCGTTTATCACGCCTTCGTTGGCGTGCATCCAGGAATGATGGCTCTCCTTCGCTCTCATCCGAGACACCTGGCTCCTGGCTAATCTCCTCTCCCTCAGCCGGCACCTGAGACAGTGCCAGAGGGGAGGGGCCTGGAGAGGGAGGCCTGGCTGACTCCTCTTCCTCATGTTTGGAGCTTTCTTCCTCCGATAAGATAGGCTCAGAGGGCGGGGCCACAACAGAACCTGCTGAAACCCACCTCTGCTTCACCCATGCTTGGATATATGCAGGAACATGAATGTAGCACCTCTTGAAAAAAAAACAACCCTTCATATGGATCCATCTAGGTCAGGGATGTCAAACTTCGGCCCTCGGCCCAGAAGCATCACAAGCTGACCACCCCCACCCCCAATTTAGCAAATGGGGGGAAGTCACGATACGTCATGTGACAACAATGCGACGATGCAAGTTTGACACCCCTGATCTAGGCAACTACTGCCTTGGTGAATCACAAGCCTGAAGCTTGTGTAAATTGCATTAAGAATATTGCAGCTTGCATGGCAGCTTAAGATATGGGTGCTTTAATGAGGTGCTGTGCTCATGTTACTGCAGCTTCTTCAGCTTTTCTGAAGCATTTTCAAGCACACCCAGCCTCTATTGGACAGTACTGTTCACACACTTGAAAGAAACTGCCTTTTGAAATGAGATAATACAGGCCTAATGGCACATACAACTTTATATTCCAATACTTCTCATGCTTCAGAATCTGTTTCATTCTTCTGATGATGGTAAAGTTTGCAAATATTTTGCAGAAAACATTTTTTCAGGTTTATAATTTCATCCAAATCACGGAGAAAGTAGCTCCCTTCCCCCTTTTTACTAAGTAAGAAACTCCCAACAACCTGCAAAGAAAAACAGAACACATGTACTGCATGAATGCATGCTTTGATCCTAAAGTGTATATAATTTAAACAGATTATATCTATTACTTTGGATTTTTATATTTTCAACTTGATTTAACGGATCAATAACATCATATCCTCATATTTCTGGCCACTATGTGCTATTTATAAATCAGAAAAAAACCAAGAAAAGAGTAAAGATGTAAAAGATGTACACCCAACATCTAACTGATGAGATGTGACATATCAGCAATTTTGATCATCTACCTCCAAGGATGCTTACCATTTCAGGTACTTTTTCAAAGATATTTGAGGGCCAGCTTGATCTACAGATACGGGCAGATGATAAAATGTGTTGCCCTACCATGAACATCAGCCGATGTGGCGCAGTGATTAGAGTGCAGTACTGCAGCTACTTCAGCTGACTGCTAGTTCAGCAGATCAGTGGATCAAATCTCACCAGCTCAAGGTTGACTCAGCCTTCCATCCTTCCGAGGTAGGTAAAATGAGGACCCAGATTGTTGGGGGCAATACGCTATTTAGTATACTGTCTTTGGTGTAAGCCACCCAGAGTCCTCGGAGAGTGGGCGGCATAGAAATATGACTAATAAAATAAATAAATAAAATAAACAGCTCCACTGCCCAATTTCTGCTGCTGATAGGAATTTGAGAAGTGTCACTGTTTGAGATCTCAGTTATCTTATGTGAAGTCAAACTATCCATCTAACTAGCTACTATCTTCTCATGATTGGGAGTAGGACCATCCACCTACACCCCGGTTTCTGTCTTAGTAAGGACTTTCTAGACTTGGGGTTACTGTTATGGAATAACTTGGTATCTTCAAACCACAGTCCCTTCATGAAGACCTTTCCTAATAATTTAATACAGAATTGTGCAGCTTCTTCCACCCTCAACTACCAAATTCAGTGGCACAGTTTCCTGCCCTTTTGAGTGAAATACATACCAAAACATAAATGTTATAGTATAACATGTATGCCATGTTTCAGGAATAACATCCCTGAAAAACAAGCAAAAATCCTTCATCTGGAAAAAGAATCACAAATGAAGGCAAATATGTGTCCAAGGATAATGTTGCAAGATTCAATCTGAGTTGGTCACTAGGACCAGAGGTTTAGTCTTCCAAGCTTTCAGACTCATGCTGGAGCCCATCCTTAGGGGACTTCCTTGAGGATGAGAGAGAAATTCCCTGAAGATGGGTTCCAGCATGAGTCCAAAAGCTCAGAAGACTAAATCTCTAGTTCTGGTGACCGACCCAGATTAGATCTTGAGAAAAAAAATCAGATCAATTTGACTGCACCCATCTTACATGATCACTCAGTTCATTGCTTTCTTTGTCCATTTGCACCATCAAGCTTGCGTTAACAAAACAAAACAAAAAGCAAAGTGTTGTGGAACATCAATGAATAGATGGGATAGAACAGGGCTGTCAAACTTGCAACCCATGGGCCGGATGTGTCACACACTGGTCACGCCCACAACCGGTTTAGCAAAGGGGGAAAAAGTCATGATATGTCATGTGATGATGCCATGACGATGTGAGTTTGATACCCCTGAGGTAGAAGGAAAAAAAAACAAATGTTTCACTTGTGTCAAGATGCATTTATTCCAGCGGGTTTTATCAAAGGCATGAGGATGTGCACTGTATATGGATTAGCCATTCTAGTAGGAATCAGATGGCAAAAGGTGCTTTTAGCATTGATATTAGGAAGAGCTGGTTCTCACAATGGCCAACAAGCAGAAATCCCCGCAGCTTCTTGGACAATACAGCACAAAGGTATCTAAATTAATCTCTGGGTATCTATTGCAGCCAGCTGAAACATGTCCATTTACATGTTTCATTTCTTATTGCAGCTTCAGCTTCTCGGAGTTCTTCAACTATATTTTCTTGTCTTCCATTCAGAAGCGTGCATTCTTTTAAAGAAGGAGGGGGATTGGGTGGAAAAAAACCAACGACACTTCAGTGCTCCAGTTTCAAAATGCAAAGGTATGATGTTATTTGTCATTGTGCCCAAAAATCCTTACTCAGTAACTTTGCCAGAAGAGGGAGAGAGAGAGAGAGAGAGAGAGAGAGAGGAGAGAGAGAAAGGAGAGAAGAGAGAGAGAGAAATCAAATGCTCCTCCAGCTGTTTCCTGTCTACAGTGTCTGTAATGTAGATAAATGTGAGGATTTTCTCTAAATCTTCTTCTGTTTGCTAAATCTCATTCTCAAATCAGAGCAGATCAAGCCTGCGCAATGGAATAAAACTCCTCAATATTGATATGTGAATATCTCCTGGATTTTTTTTTTCCTTTTTATTCCCCCCTCATTATTCCTCTGCTAACCAATTCATTTCCAGAGTTTGCACTTAAGAAGCAATGGGGGAAACCAACAGTCTTTCAACACTATTATTTAAGTGCTGCTTTTGTGATTTCTTGAAGGTAAATCTTTCTTCCTATTTGATTTCTTTTTGAAATATATATATATAATTTATAATTTTGCTGTATGTGTAATCAGATTTTGGCTTGAAGATTGCTATAGACACTTTCAGTGGCATTATTTCTGCACTGGGATTTTATTTCTAAACTGCTGAACAATTTTAGCACAGTTGAGAAATGACTGCATGGAATGACTGCTCTAAACACAGCTTAGAAACAGTAAAGGTGAAGGTACTTAAGAATTCAACTTGGATTAGAAAAACTTTCTGCAAAAATTTTTGCTCTGTCATATTTAAAATTCCCACTTACATCATTTGCTGTGGTTAATAACTGCTGAGTTGAATACAAGCAGTTTTGAATTGCACTGCAGGTGCAAATGTTGACATTGTGATACCCATTAGACATCAAGTAGCTGATTCAGTTCTCTAGGATTATTATATACCCAGAAGTACAGAAGTAACCCAGAGATTACAGTATATAGTCTTTATAGCAGCTGCTTATTGGCATCAATCTACATTTAGAGTTTTTTTAATGGTTTCCTGTGAAAGTGAAGTTTGTTTTTCCTTTTCTGAAAGAAGAACCACGCACAGCTTTCTGCTCTTTCAGATTCATGCTAAGTTTAAGCAATTGTGCAGTAAGAAAAGTGAACAAACTATTTTATGCAGTTTTATTTTACTTTCACAAAGCAGCTTTTGTTAAACAAAGTTTGATAGGATTTTTTTTTAATAGTATCCTGTATTCACTGCTTCTTGGAAACATAACTCCTCTTAGCTAGATTTGACTTCAGTAGATCCACTGACCTCTGTTTCTGTCAGCTGGCCTCAAGTTTCCATTCTCAGCAAAATTATATCCTTCAAGAATAAAGTTTTGTTTTTCCATTTTGTAGGCAGAGCTGTGTGCAGCTGACAGTCTCCAAAGCTGTAGGTGCCAATTTAGTTTTGTTTTTACTTTTAAAAAAAACACTACCTTGCCTGAGTATGATTTATCCATTTTACTTTACTTGAAAGAAATAATTTTATAACATGTTTAGAGTATGAATAAACAGTGTCATGCAAATATTGCTGAAATCAATAGCTATTGGAGGGTCATGGTTATAACTGCAGAACTATGGACAGCATCCAATGTTCAGTTTATTGGAAAGAGGAAGGTAATTTTTTATTATTATTATAAACTTCCCAACATAATATAGATACCAAATCACAATTAATTAGCAGAGTGTAGTAAAATTAAATTTATAAAAGAAGGCAGTACTAAACCACTAAACATGTTAGCTGAAAACCAAATTCTATTAAGTTTAGAGGAATTTGTAGTTGGATCTTATGCATGCATGTCAGGAAGAAAACCCAAACAAGTTAAATGTGGATTATTACCATATAAGTGTTCCTAAGCTTGCAACCTTAATTCCAAATATTATTTTTCTTGAATTCCTAAGGCTATTCCTTGAGATAAGGACATTCTTGAGATTCGTGCCATGAGAACTTTTCTCAACTTCTTTCTGGATAATGCTAGCTTCACTGATCCTACTAGACTTCTACCATAGGTTCTAGAAGGAATTTGGTTCTTCAGTATTTTTGTGAATGCCAATAGGTAGAAAAAGAATACACAAAGGCATGATAAGATATAACATTTGTATCCCTCTGTTCTGAGATTTTAAGGAAAGGTGATTCTGATAGATACTATATATTACTTTTTCTACCTACTGAGTGCCAGGACCTGGAGAGCTCCTAAAGTTCATGTACTATATATAGTCTTTTAAAGTGCAAAGGTCCATGAGTTCATAGTGAGGATTTGAACCCCATAGAATAACATCTGGCTACCTAGGGAGAATGAGTCCCAAACAGAACACACCCACTCACTTTGTCCTGGTAGTCAGTGTACTTACAGCATGTTTGACTTTTTATTCAATGCTTCCTTGGTATCATGTTGGTTGCATACATTGCCTTATTTACCTAATGACAATGTCTGACAGCTTACATATGTATTTCCTTAGCACAGATGAGTACTTCTGTCTACAGTATTCCAGCTGCCGTGTCTCTGAAAAGCGCTTTCAGTAAACCCTAAAGCGTTGTTATTTTAGATCGCCACCAAACCGGCGCATGCCCAAATTTCGCTCAAGCGGTTTTTTGTACGCGCTGCTTGATTTGAAGCTTGCCGAATGGGGAGGAGTTAGGGGAGGGCAAAAGAAGGTGTTAAAGCCAAGGAGCAATCCATCTGCTGGCTACTTTAAGAGCCACTGTTTTGGACTGCCGCACTCCAGATGCAGAAGATACTGGATCTTCTCTGAAGGAGAAGATCTGTTGAAATTGCAGCTATGAAACATAATTGGTCATTCATTACCACATTGTTTAGCCAGTCCTGCACAGTACAGAGTTGGACTCAGAGTCCAAATTTAATCAGACACTCTGATAAACCCCACCCACTTTCCAGGACTTGCTTTTAAAGGCCTCTGCCTTCAGTTCAAATGGGACAGACAATAAATTGGGGACACTCTGATCTATTGAAAAGACCAGCAGCCAAATTGTTAATTATCGTAAGTATTCCTTTAATGACTCGAGTCTTCCCATCTAAACGAAGAAGAAATATTAAGGTACATCAGAGAATTTTTCTGATAGATAAATCTTCAAAAACACTATTGTATGATTGATGGGGTTGGATTTTTGGTCCATTTGACCATAATTTCCTCTTTCCAAATTTTGTAAAGAGATTATGATTTTGCGATCTAGGAGAAAATATTGAACTTCTAGGCAAGTGTATGGTGTCACATTCTTGGCTCATATAAAGGAGTGGGAATAACACAGAGTCCCATTCTCTTGACCTAGATCTGATATTTCTTTTTTACAGTGTGCAAAGTCTGCTGCAGTCTCAGAAAAAATAACATTGTTAAATGAAGTTTATGTTTGAGGCAAAGCCAACTGGGATCAAAGAACACTGTGTTGAATACACAGTGTTCTTCAGTAGGTACGCAATGCCATTTCATTGGGACAATGCTGGGATAACGTTTTGAATTGCATCCTTGAGAGCAAGTCTGTGAAAGCAGGCGACTTACCTCCGCCTTAAACACTTTTGAGGTATCATTAAATAGAGGAAAATGGTATTATGAAAACTGAGACTATTCTTAGTTTCCATGATTGAATATAGTCAACCTCGTTTCTGCTTCTGAAGTCATACTCACGTTTGCCTTTCTATTATTCTGGACTGTCATGTTTTGCAAATGCTAATTAGCTATTTCATCTTCATTGAGTCTTTTAAATATCTTTCTATCTTTATATTGGATGTTTCCATAAATGAAGGTCTTGCCTATTACTCTCATCTGTTGGCTAGGTTCTCTGCTAGGTTGGCTAGTCATTATAGATGGGCTTTTGTAGAGAAGTGTTTTGCATTTAATATGAAGGCCAAGCTAGGCATTGCTAAGGACTGGCTTCTGTCTGTGGTTCTGATTGCCCCCCCCCTTCCAGGAATAAATAGTATGTGTATTCTATCTCTCTCTGTGTGTGTGTGTGTGTGTGTGTGAGTGAGTGTGTGTGAGTGTGTGTGTGTGTCTGTCTGTCTGTTTGTCTGTCTGTCTGTCTAAAGGAAAAGGAATGGTCTTGGAAAAAGCTTCATAGAGGGAAAACCTGCTTTTCAAAGATCTTAAGACAAGTAACGTCTGTAGTCCTTGCAGCCATTGCCAATAAAATGTTTGGCAATCAAATCTTTTTCTACTTACTGGGCAACATTGTAATTTTCAATAACCCTATAATGTGGCAACATTTTGGGAGGCTGAGAAAAAGGGATGATCATGATGATGACGCTGATACAGCTCATTTAGCAACCAATCTTGGAGATAAATTAAGGGCAGTGGTGGCCCAGTGGTTAGAATGCAGCACTGCAGGTCTAACTCACCGCTCACTCCAGGAGGTCGATTCTGAGCAGCTCAAGGTTGACTCAGCCTTCCATCCTTCTGAGATCAGTAAAATGAGGACCCAGATTGTTGAGGACAAGATGCTGACTGTAAACCGCTTAGACAGGGTTTACAGTATATAAGTCTAAGTGCTATTGTTAAATTAAGGTAAAGATAAAGGTTCCCCTTGCACATATGTGCTAGTCGTTCCCAACTCTAGGGGGTGGTGCTCATTTCTGTTTCAAAGCCAAAGAGCCAGTGCTGTCCGAAGATGTCTCTGTGGTCATGTGGGCGACATGACTCAATGCCAAAGGCACACGGAAGGCTGTTACCTTCCCACCAAAGGTGGTCCCTATTTTTCTACTTGCATTTTTTACATGCTTTCGAACTGCTAGGTTGGCAGAAGCTGGGACAAGTAACGGGAACTCACCCCATTACGTGGCACTAGGGATTCGAACCGCTGAACTGCCGACCTTTCAATCGACAAGCTCAGCATTTTAGCCACTGAGCCACCGCATCCCTAAATTGCTTGCTAAATTACTTGGAGAAAAAGCCATGTAGTATTAGCATAGTTTCTGAGTTATCACAAGTATACAGGAAATATTTGGGGAAGTAGAGACACACATCCATACCTCTAAGTCTAAATCAGGGTCACTTGATTGTGAGATGGGCAGCATATCAGTATGATGAATAAATAAATAAACTTAACCCAATCAGGATTGCCATACTATATAGTAGTCAAGGAATACTTCATATCAATATGTAGCAGGGACAGGGAAATGGAAAGGAGCATCCTAGAAGAAAGCATGACTGCCTGGATTAAGCATGGAACTGAAAGATTCCTTACTACAATATTTTGTTACAAGTGCAGTTGTTGAGGTACTCCCAATTCTTAGTGAATTCATCTAGGCATTTTACACTTTCCAGAGTTTGATGATGCTTGTGTTTGTAATTTCTGCCCATTTCTCCCGGTAGTTAATTGTCTCAGATGTTTAAAAAAGATTATCAGACTGCAGCTGCCTTGTGCTGCGCCAGTAAAACAACACAGCTGCTGATCCTAATTTAAACATCAGTTATATAGGGGTTTAAAACTGCTTTGGTAGCTGGATCACACCCAATCTATTTGGCCTTGCCCTTCACAGTTGAACCACACTATATCTGTTGAGTTAAGCCTCTGAAAACATAACAATAAGCTGCCAGGTTCAATATATATTTGGGTGTGGAAAGCCCTCTTTTTAAAATAATTTTAATAATTTAAAAGGGAAATAGATCCATTTTTAATGTCACCCTTTTCTTGTAATAGTTGGAAAAGTTGGGTGAAGCTTAAAAGTCAAAGAAGTTTTGCTTGAACTGAAATTAAGTAACTCTTCAATGGAGTTGAGTTTATCAAAATCTTGCAAATGCCTTTATAGCAGGGGTGAAATGCTCCTGGTTCGGACCGGATCACCCGATCCAGTAGCGATGGAGGTGGGTGGTTCGGAGAACCAGTAGCAAAAATCCCTGCCCCCCTCCCATGCCCAGCTGAGCCGCACAATCATCAGAGGCTTTTTTTTAACTTTTAAAAGCATCTTTTCTACAACCTCTTCGGCTGAAAAAATGCTTTTAAAAGTAAAAAAAAAAAGTCTCTGATGATCGCGTGGCTCAGCTGGGATCATCAAAGGCTTTTAAAAGAAAAAAAAAACCTTTCTTTCTTTTAAATGCCTCTGACGATCCAAGCTGAATTGCCTGATCGTTAGAGGCATTTAAAAGGAAAAAAGTCTCTGCCGATCAGGCAACTCAGCTGGAATCGTCAGAGCCTTTTGAAAGCATTTTTTTACAACCTCTTCACCGAAGAGGTTGTAGAAAAAATGCTTTTAAAAGTAAAAAAAAAAAAATTGGCCATGCCCACCCAGTCACATTATCCCACCGCCACCAAGCCACGCCCACAGAACTGGTAGTAACACATTTTAGGTTTCACCACTGCTTTATAGAAAATTCATGTTCACATGAATTTCAGACATCAATACATTAGAGAGGGTCCAGAACTATTTTACTAGAAGAGTACTCAAATCTTCTGCTCGAAATAAAATACCCTATACTACCAGGCTTGAAATTTTAGGCCTCGATAGCCTTGAACTAGGCCGTCTACGTTCCCACCTAAGTTCATAAGATTATTTATCAAAACATCCTACCTATAAATGAGTACTTTAATTTCAACAGCAATAACACAAGGGCTACCAATAGATTCAAACTCAATGTAATTCGCTCTAATCTTAATTGTAGGAAATATGACTTCTGCAATAGAGTAGCAAATGTCTGGAACACTCTATCTGATCTTGTTGTTAGTCTCTCTAATACCCATACCTTTCACCATAAACTGTCTACAATGGACCTTTCATGTTTTTTAAGAGGTCCCTAAATGAGCATGCATAAGCGCACCAGCGTGCCTACCATCCCTGTCCAACTGTCCCCGTTTATATGTACTCATTTTATGTGTTTATGGCTATGTTTTGCTTATTTATTTCCTTTTATTTGTGCCAATTTTTTTTCATGCATCCATGTCTATGTCTATACTGTTACTTGTTTCCTTGTACTCATTGATAAATAAATAAATAAATAAATAAATAAATAAATAAATAAATAAATAAATAATAAATAAATAAATAAATAAATAAATAAATACTTTAAGACATGGGAGATGGCTCTGGATGCCAACACAATGACCCATAGATTTCTTTAAGAAAAAGAAAGAATGCAGGATAGAAATCAACTGCCACACCAACATACAAAATACACTAATGTACATATGTATCTGATTTTTAAGAATGCACAAAAAGCAAAAGATTTATCTGGAAATGAGATGTTTTCTTGGTCTATTTTGCTCAAAATGCTTGTATCTTCCTGAGTGTGCTTCAGATTTTACTTCAATCAAATTTGAAGCGGATGAGGGTATACCTCAGAGAAAAGGCATGAAGTGAAGCAACAAACAATTCTCAGAGGTCAGAAAGAAATAGAAAACTGGGTTTCCCGCCTGGGAGTAGCCCTGTATCCTAGTTTATAGAGTTGTCTGTTTGAAATATTGTCCAAGATCTATTTGAATGAAGTGTCAAGGGCTGCCCAGTCAAATCTGTTTAAAAATAAAGAACTATCAGAAATAGAAATTTGAAATTGCCCATAGATATTAGCTCGACAAGGTTCATGGTCATTTGATCAGAATTTTCCTCAATATGTAATAATTCTTTCTGAATGGGCCTCTGTGCCAATAAAGCAATCAATTTGGTTCCACTTAAATCAGCACCTTGTTTATTGGGATTGTCTAAAAAAACACTGACATAGTTTTGTTTTTACTTCATTCACAGGTGAAGATGCTCACTGCAACATCCATTAATTTTTTCTACTTTGGCCTGTGTTTGCTCACATTAACCAGCTCGTCTGTTGGTGCTGCGGGCCAAGAAACTCTTTGTGGTGCTGAGTTGGTCGATGCTCTTCAATTTGTCTGTGGAGAAAGAGGCTTTTATTTCAGTAAGTTTAACCATCCATTGATCCTTTTTCTGGTCCATTTTTCCAGTTGTTTTTCTGGGGAATGTAAATTTTGGGGTCATCCACATCAGCTACCAATTCCTATGCTTTCTACAGTGTTTCCACACCCATGTGTATCAGTGGTAGGTTTCTATCAGTTGACCCCAGTTCGGGCGAACCAGTAGCGGTGATGGTGAGCTGAGAGTGAACCGGTTCATTCCGACCATCAGCCCCTGCACTATACCTACCTATATTCATTCGTTTTTAGCCCAGCTGATAGGCATAGCAGAGCGGATTGCCGTGCCTCAGCGTTTCTGAAATGCAATGCGCTTGCGCGTGTGCGTTTGTGCATAAAGCAAACCGGTTGTAACACTGGTTGAAACCCACCACTGATGTGTATGTGGAAGAAGGTATGTGCATGTCTGTATGGTATTTATCAAATAATAGTATATGTACATAATAATACTTTTCTCAAATCCTAGTTTATAGGTCAAAAAATGTACATTAGTTTGTGTGGGTTTAACATCTTCTACTCACTCCTCACTTTAAAAAAAAACGTGTTTTGAAGATTATTATACTTTCTAACTATTCTTTTTCTTTTCCTCTTGCTATACTTACCGATTTCACCTCTCTTCCACCCTATCAACTTCCTCTGGTACATGATGCTGCATCTGGAAATGGTTTAGTCTTGCACAATTTCTCTTTTAAGCAAATTAAAAACTGGGTGTTATATCTTTATTACAACTCTCTTCCAACATCTGGTATTTGTGGTTATGTGAATTGTCATTCAAGTGGGAAGTGCAGGAGGTAGGAAATGGTAACATAAAGCAACTACCAAGAGATACATACTGTGTTGAACAATCTTTGGTATTGCTTTGACTTCAAGATATTTGGAGAACAAGGCTGGAGAATAATTTTGCTTCAACAGTTTCGTATGAATGTGACTTCGTGAATTAAGAAGGAATGTCATGTAATGGAACGTTTCATGCTTGTGTATAAGAAGTCTTGATTTTACTATCCAACTCTTTGGTAAAAAAATTATTTAATTGAAATTATGAATTAAGAGCTTAAAATGCACACTGAGATAATTTCAGGTTCAGAGTTACTGAAGAGTTCACAGGAATAACATTTTACTAAACTAGCTTCTCACATAATTTGTTTTGTGAATGGTTACAAAAACTTTATAAACCAGCCCCTTGGCATAGTCATGCTATGGTAAGAACAGAACATGTTTACCTGTTGCCCGATACAGGGAACATGTTTACTCCTGTAACCTTAATAAAACTTGTGATGATCACAATGACTTTCAGCTCCTCTTTATTGGACATCCGTGATTAATATTTCCCCTTGGAAGATGTTTACATTTGGGCATTGAGCACCTTTTTATATAGGATAGTTCTCGCCTCCTTTCATCACTTTGTTTAACAGCTATATTAACCTGTTGTCAGAGGTCATCCATCAACTTGGCCTTGTACCAACAATAACCTGATGATACCCATCACTTATATCATCACTTATTTTATTTATTTATTTATTTTATTATTCATATTTCTATGCCGCCCACTCTCCGAGGACTCTGGGCGGCTTACACCAAAGACAGTATACTAAATAGCATATTGCCCCCAACAATCTGGGTCCTCATTTTACCCACCTCGGAAGGATGGAAGGCTGAGTCAACCTTGAGCTGGTGAGATTTGATCCGTTGATCTGCTGAACTAGCAGTCAGCTGAAGTAGCTGCAATACTGCACCCTAACCACTGCGCCACCTCAGCTCTTAATCTTTATGCTGATGCTGTGGGTGTCTTTTTTGTTTGTGTGTGTGTGTGTGTGTGTAGGCTATAAGAACTGGACATAATAAAACAGTCTGCAATTAAGAAATGGTGTAGGATCTCCTGCTTGGGCAGGAGGTTGGACTAGATCAGGGGTCTCCAATCTTGGCAACTTTAAGCCTGGTGGACTTCAACTCCCAGAATTCCGCAGCCAGCTAGCTGGCTGGGGAATTCTGGGAATTGAAGTCCACCAGGCTTAAAGTTGCCAAGGTTGGAGACTCCTGGACTAGATGACCGACAAGGTCCCTTCCAACTCTGTTAATCTGTAATCTGTAAATCTTAAAACAACACTATTTATTTTAATTTATGTCACATTTAGAAACTGTCCCTCTCCCATACAGAATAACTCTGGGTGGTATTCAAATAACACATAAAAGCTTTAAAAACTATACATAAATATTTGAAACGTTTGAAACTAAAATAATTTCAAAGTTTTGGACGAGGGGAAGGGCCTTCGTGTTGCCATTTCCTCCTAAAGATTCTCATCTCATTCCAATGTGCCTCTTGATGGGGTGGCCCTCTTGTTGAAGAAGTAGCTATATGACCTGGAAGTCCTACTTGACTCATAGCTACTGCTGAATAAACTATAATAAATTGAGAATGCGAGTGAAGGATTCTGAATTCCTCCTGGTTTCAGTATACTGAGAAAAGAGGCTCAGTGTGACTCATGCCTTCACATTCTGCACAAATAAGGCCTCCATGTCTTCAAGGATTTGATGATGATATTCAACGACTTGACATTCAAGCATTGTGTATGTTGAGTCAATATAGCATTCATAATGAAAACAGTTTATTCTACTTCAGGGCCCTCATGCTCTTTCCTCATGGACAATGGCAGGTTACATGCACCTAAAGTGGGATGACAGCCCAGATTGTGTGTGTGTGTGTGTGTGTGTGTGTGTGTGTGTGTGTTGATAGGTCTCTCTGTCTTTGCTTCCAAGGGAGTTCCTGGAGTCTCTTCCACAGAGCCAGGGGTTATGTCATGTTTCTCAAACTTGGGGATTTTAAGACATCTAGATTTCAACTCCCAAAATTCCCAATCCAGCAAAACCAAACTAATATATTATAGCTACTATAATGCAGTATAGGAATCATTGTCCATATAAAGCAACTTCTTATGATCCTATATTCCAACAGTTGAGCCAGGGACCTCCAATTGCACACATCAATCTATTATCTACAGTGCCACAGTAGATCTTGATTTATATACTGTATAAACCAATATTTGACCAAAAGAAAAAGCAATATGCATGCCCATTGCTTGGGGGGGGGGGGAAGAATTCACATACACAATAAGCTGTAGGAAGCAGAGATAGATGGGAAAAAAAACAGAAGAAAGAACTGGCCAGGAACAGCTAGGTGATAAAGACTAAGTCATATTTCACTGAGTCAAGTAATCTTGAACTGGTTGCCAAATAGCATAAAATGTTTCCAGGTTGTTTCTCTTTGTAGAGCATTCCATCATCTGCTGTTAAAGCAAGCTGCTTAGTAGCCTAAATTCCATGGCAGGGGGAAATTGTGGCTTTCCAAGTTCACAATGAGATGCTTGGCAACCAATAGAAATCTCTGTGAAGAGCGTAATGGTCCTTTGGATCCAAACAGCTGGAAAATCACGTGAAAACCTATGTCTCGGTTAAAAAGGAATTGCAGGTATTTAAGACAAGACTTTGGCATTTCGTTTTTGTAAAAGACAAAAAAAAACCTTCCACAATAATAATGCTGTCAACCTCTAATTTATGCATCACACTTGACCCAGGAATTGTACAATGCTAGCGAACAGCCAAAGAATTCATTTTTTCTACTGTTTCTAAAGAAAACAGCATTCAAAAGAAGTTAGGTAACAAGAAACCTGAAACAAAGTGAGGGGAAAAGATATCCTTATCACTTCTACCCCATATGCTGCTTAACATTAAAGGATGTACAACATCTTTTTCTGAAAAACCCCAACAAGCAGGAAAACTTAGTTTCCTTCCCTCTGATTCTCCCTGTTCTCAACACTCTCCCATAGATCTCCTATATGCCCCAAATGAACCTTCTTCCCTCTTTGCATGTAAAATATTGGGAACAATAATGGGATAATAGAGAAAACAGAGAAGTGCTATTTTTTTCTCTTCCCTTTTATTATTTTTTTTTATGATTATACCTCAATTTCAATAGGTCTTAGAAGAATTTCATTTCCTATGTACATTTGAGCTTCTTATGCAACATTTAATGGATTACCCTAGGCTGTGAAAAGTCTTTTCATATGGGTCATTACCACCACTTATCAAACTTGGAAAAGAGAAAAAAAAATACAGAATCTGGGTGGGCAGGAAGGACTGGCTGGTACATGAGAAATCAGAAATTCTTCAGCTCACATTTTGACCTTAGCTAGAGAGAAATGTGAGGTTTGAAAAGTTCACTACTCATTAGAGAACAATAAAGTTCTGTGCTACCTTAAAGGGTAAAATATATTATTTCATAAGCTTTCATGAATCATGGTTCTCTTTATTTATAAATCCTCAAAGTCTTCTCTGAGCCCAGATTGGAGAACTTTTTTTCTGGGGGGCGGGAGGGAGGAAATGTGCCACTAATTCAGGGGGAAAAAAATCAGTAGCAGATTCTCTGTTCGTAGCATCCTTCTTATGAGTAAAACAAAGTTTTAGGAGTAGATGGGATTCTTGTAGTAGATCTCTAAGTGATTTTAAGGTAAAAAAAAAAGAAAGGTTGCTGGTTTCATGGGCTAACAGCAGCATTAGGAAAATTTTCTAACTGAAGTAAAAGATACTGAAGTGAAATAGTTTTAATTACTACTAAGATCATCTGATGACAATACCTAGGAACCTTAGCTGATTAGGACTAAGCAGGGCCACACCTGCTTATTACTTGGATGAAACACTATCAGGAATTCACAGTGTTGGTAGACTGAAACCGAACAATCTCAGAAGAACCACTTCTTGTAATCCAGAAAATTTCATAGATGTATCCATACTCTCACTAGGAGAGTGTCCCCAACCTTTCTGGCTTGGTGGCTTGGCAGTGGGGGGAGAGGGGATAGTTCTCTGTGAGTGGTAGGTGGGCACGCGCAAGCTCACCAGCTCCATTTGTGTGAGCAGCCAGCACACACACGCCACTCACGCTAAGGGAGAGCAAGTGGCCGCCCATAGTAGCCATAGCAGAGGTGGTATTCAGCTG